TCCATCCATAAAGTTGCGCTGCTCGGCCAGCTATCAGCTTATGATCTCGTTCAGGCCTCACCTGCCGATGAAATTGCCACCCAAGAGCCATGGGCCAATGCGAATAAATCAACAACCCACAAGCCTCCATACAAGATCTCTGACGACATTTAGAGGGCAAACATTTGCTTATGAGTGTTTTACGCATTAAATAAAAATCAAGTTCACAATATGCTGCAGACGAATTTTACTGGAACTATGAATTCTACTCAGCGGAAAGGATATTTGAATAAAAATCGGAAGCTCTACTACATTACTTTCTCTCGATCTCAGTAGGAAATTTGTAGCTTAATTACATTTATGAGGGTAAATCTAAAAGGCTAACAATCAATATACATATATCTAAAATGTCTGGCTACCTAATTCAATATACATATATATTTAATAATTTTTGTGTTTTAAGGCATCATTTCATTCAATTCTTTATTCAATTATTATTCAAGTTATACTTAAAAAAAAAAATAAAAAAAACGTAAATGATTAATTATTTTGTATAGAGGATTATATGTATGTGTTTTATTTATTTTTATTTTCTGCTAGACCAGTTCACCAAGTTCTTTATCAATGACTCAATTGTAAATTGTAATGGAGGAATATATGTATTTTATTTATTTGTATTTTGAGAGACATCGATTCATCCAATTCTTTGTCAAGATTTAATAAAACATAATTATTTGGTATAGACAACTCTGCATTTTATTTATTTGAGTTCTCAATTCTTGATCAATAGATTTTATACAGCTAATATATGCACATCATGCGTATACTTCGGCCTGCCTCTTCTCTATATATGTACATACATTCCCTGCATTTGAGTGTAAGAGTTGCAATTCGCTTTCCTCTTAAGTTTGCCCTCCATGCTTCTGTTTCTTATCAGAATCGAAGGTAATTGAAATGACTTTGAAGTCGAGCATAGCCAAATGCACTTTCGCAAGGCTCAATTCGGTGGCCATCTTATCAGCAATTATGACGGGCTATAAACTCTAATTGATTATTGCCAGAGCACTTGGGCCAGTACCAAGGCTCTCCGATTGCCTGTATAAAAGCGATTGGAACGATGCTGGGCAACAGTCAGAGACATTTCGTGGGAGGAACATGAAACTTCTAGCAGCTGTTCTGTTTGCATGCGGTAAAGTAACAAATAGATCTAGCCAAACGTATAATAAACTAAAAACAGTCTCGGTGATTCTCATAGTGGCAACACTTGCGCTGTTGCACAGCGTTTACGGTACACCGGTGCAGCCGGCGATTCCAGAAGCGTCCGCTGCCAATTCCAAGCCAGGAGCCAATCCAGCGCCCAATTCAGCGCCCAATTCAGCGCCCAATGCAGCACCCAATCCAGTGCCAAATCCAAAGGCACCAGCTCCCAATTCAGCGCCAAATCAAACGGCTTTGGTGCTCAACGATGAGCTTTCGAGCACCCCAGCTGAAACCCAAGATCCACTATACCGTGTCACTCTACAAGATGACAATGTGAAGGATGGCGGTCCAGTCGCAGTCAAGAGCTTAGGTCCAAGCAACAGCAATTCGCCAGGAAACGCCGCCTATCAAGGTGAAGCTGCTCCATCCCTAGATGCGGCTCCCAATATGGATGAAATCTCTGCCGATGGTGCAGCCGACCAGCAGGCCATAGTTGTCTAGGGAGAGGAGCAATAAGCAGCTTCAGGTAAATGCACACTACCACATGCAAAGCTAAAGCGCACACACACTTATATCTACATGTATGCATACATATACATATATATATATATATATGTACATATACCCTAATATGCTTATATGTATATAAATTATGTATTCGAATCAGCATGAGCAATAAATAAATTGCATTTGAAAACAAGTTGTTCAACACTGGGTTATAGTGTTGATATACTCCTCTATTAATAGCACTCTATAGTGCACTGGTTTGATATATCTAGGTCCAAGCTATAGAGTAATTCTAAATTGGAAACTTGAACAGTTTCCTTACTATAGAGGAGTATTATGCAGCAGAATTTTTGGTTGAAAATTGCCCTGAAAAGTGGGCTTATATCGAATTCCAATGTTCACTAGGGCATGGCAATCACATGCTATTCCCAGACAGCGAGCCCCTGAGCGGATTTGTATAAAAACAAAGGAGCGAAAGATTACGAAATGAAGTCGAAACTTGAATACTCTAAGCAGAAAGCAAAGTATATTTTAATTGTAAACAGTTGCAGTAATAGCTAAATCCGAGATAGCTCTTCAGTCAGCCCGGATTTTCATCGATCCACGATGCGAAACCTGAGATACCCCAAGCAAGAGCAACAAAATGCTAAAGCGCACAGGGAGGTGGTGGCAAAAAAAAAATCACTTACAAAGAGGAAGCGACAGCTACAACAAGTTTTATGAATGAAGTTACCAATCTCTGTAAACTTGAAGGCGACAAAGAAAGAAAAAACCAAACCAAACAAAAGAAAACAAAAACAAAATCCAAACTCAACCACAAGACAATGTAGAGGACGGAAGCAACGGCAGCGGCAGCTGAAGAGAGGCAAAGGGAATATCCATAGACCACATTCATTGATCAATGGCAGAGCCAGAGCCAGAGCCAGAGCCAACGACATGTTGGTAGTCGTGGCCGGGCTCATCCGCTGTCTGGGAGCATATCATTAACAGATGTGATTTAAACACGTTCGGCAAATAAAAAACGATTTAGTCTTTATTTGTCGGCCACATATACATATGTATACATAAGTATGTGTGTGATCGCAACTATAATTTGCCCATCAGTAATATGGATTTATGTATTGTCACTGCTCACATATCAATTTGCATGTTAACACGTCTGTGAGAACATGCCAACAAATTGCTAAAGTCAAATAACTTAATCTGTATATGAAAGGTCATTGAGTATGCAAAACTAGTTCGATCCATGGGCCTATATGAAAATAATATATAT